TACTCGAATTTTACTAGAAACCGATAGGATCTACCCTTGCATTACAAATGTTAATTCAAGCAATTCTACGGATAGCAGTGTTTCTGCTCAGATGGATTCGGAATACCAACACTACTCCGGTATTTGACCCTACAGCTCTTCAGAAGCCCTATTGCCATCACTAAACTCCCTTTACACTATCGTTCGCATCAGTACGAGCTTCATCGTGTAAGCGCAAGGTCATACCTTGAGAGAAGTTACGGCATAATATTCCGAGCCACTTTCCGGTCCATGCGAAACTTTCAGTGAATTTAGCAGACCGAAATTAATTAACGGAAGACAATGTTCACCTGCGACCACCAAATTGGCTCACTCTGCTTGCAGTTACGAAAATTTGACGACAAATTCAACACTATTGTACGATAATCATCAGACCATAAAATAATCTTCAGACATTTAAATTTATAATATAATCCTAATTAATTAGTGCGACACTATAAATAATAATTTCTTCTAATTTTCTGATTTTATTAATTTTCTGATTAATTATTATCTGTTTTTATTTTTTCAATTTAATTATACTGTAATATAGAAAAAGAGATAAAATATTTTATTAAACTTCATTCTGTATTTGTTTAACAATTGGGCTTTAATGGGCTTGTATATTTCTTTCTATCACGTATATTTTTATACCTATTTAATATATTCAACTTTTTTTTTTAAAACAAAAAATTTACAATAATAGTCAGTAAATTCCAAATAACAGCTTGGTTAAATTGATTATAATAACAAAGTACAATTTTCTGTGTCAACATTAACACGAAACTTAGTTCGTCATTTGATCGACATAGAATAATTTATTCTATCGATTATCCGCTCAAGTGGCATAGTCAGCGCGTGTGATCGACATGCTGAAACTCAGTTAAAATCGCCGACGACGCGGCAAAAATTTTTAATGCACAAACTGTCAAGCACGAACGGCGCGAAAATCCATTAAAATTTTCGAGCGCCATTAAGAACGACGACGTAACTGTTTTTCTAGACAAGATGTCGAAAGTCCTTCCGTTATTAATATTTTCATAATGTTACATCTTCTTTCATAGGATTGTGCAAGTTACAAATTGTTTTTGCGAAAATAAAAGACAAGCGTGCACAGTTTTTCTCAAGCCATTTGCATCTTAATGTATCGCGTATAAAGAGTTAAGATAAATACGCGAGGAAAAAAACCGATGCATTTCGTAATTACTTTCGCATTGAATCAAACTTTTTAATGTAAAACGAGTGAATTTAAAACAAATGTTTATTTAATTTATTGATTACGTGAAGTTTATACTTTTTATATTTTTTTTTTAGAGATCCCTCGATCTGACGATTGTTCCTCGATGGTCTATCCTTTAAGAAAATTTATGTTATAATAATGATAGAGAGTGGACTTACCTTGACCCAGGTTTCGTGTTTGAATTTCACCGATTCCCAAAAACGGACACCTCCCTCTCGTTCGCGCACGTTTTACAGCCTTTGTAGAGCGCTTCGTATAGAATCGCCGTGTCGCCGCGTCTTTCTAGAGAAAAGAGGAAACAACTGTCATCAATCTCGGTCACGCGAACGACAGTTTGCGAACTAGTCGATCGCGCCTGATTTGAAAATTACGAAAGTCGAGAGTTTACACTGCCGATCGCAACGGACGTGAATAAAGACATCAATGGCAACACGTTGAATGGCGTCTTGAAGCGGAAACCGTCGCGTACAGATAATGCCACATGTTTGTTCTCTTAATATATTACATACGATGGATTACGGAAAGTTTAGACAAATTGCCGCGGGCTAAAGTCATTATATTTCGTTTATAGAACAAAGTTAAGAGCATTCCAGAAAATACGTGTCGAGTAATTTCGTCTAACAAAGACGATGTTTACGTAGTAGTATTATGGTTATTATGATATTCGTATAGAATAAACTGATGAAATTTTCAAATTACATTAATGTAGGTACAATAATTGTTTCAGTGATGATGTATACATAATATATAGTATTAATTAATTATTCTGTATTAATTAACTGTTGTTATAAGCTACGTATTATATATAGTATAAATGCTTTTGATAATATCAGCGTTTCCGACATGTGATGCTCACGTGTTTGGTATTTGTTATACAGTATTATGTTACCTTAAAAATAACACTAATATATTGTTTAAATCTATATTTTCTAATTAATTGGTAAAATAATAATAAGAAAATATTGGTATAGGTTAAAAAAATATATCTAAAAGACATATTAAAAGAAGGTTGTCAACAGAACTGCGACGTCACAAATAAGTGTGTAATTCTATTTCCTTCTTTGTATATAAAATTTAATAGTGAAAAAAATACGCGGATCGAAGCGTTTTCTATATATTGGGAAATTTCCTCTTCGCGGAACGAAACTTTAAGAGAAAGTAATTTGAATATTTCGCTTCACGTGTGCGTACGTTTCATCGACGTTCACAGTCTGCTTCGTAATTTCAACCGCAAACATGGCTCACGCGATACGATTCATATACCACGAAAACATCGCTCCAGGAAGCTTTATATCAACGATCTTCAAAGAGCGGAAAATAGCGCCGCGCCTTCTCATCCTCCCTCTCTCCACGTACATTGCCGTATTTTCGTCCTGCCTCTCTTGTTTCATTCGGGATACTCCGCCCAGTCAGTCTTTTCGGCACACTTTATCGCGTACTACATTGGAAGCGGTTCATGTATCCGCCATAACGGCGCGTAATTCTTTTCCTTTTTGACAAGGATCTCAGATAGTGAAAATGAGATTTTCAGGAGCAATTTGAAGCGAATTTGCCTGCAAAAGGGTCGAGATGGGGGAACAGATTCAAAAACGAAGAGGAAGGTCACGTTGAAGAAACATGACTACGTCGACGATAACAGCAACGGCGACAACGAAGAAGATGAGGAAGAAAGAAAGACGACACTGCAGTACGGGCAACTTTATTATGGCTTCTATTCAGCATCTCAGATTTTTCCGTTGAGTCAGCTTTTGCGTCGTACGCTGTAACTCTCGAGATTTTTCAGCAAACAAAACACCACGAAACCAATCCATGGAGATCTTTTGTAAACGCATCTTTTGTAATGCGCGTTTCACCTATGCAAAGCACACAATAGTGTAACACTGGTCGAAGCGGCGTTAAAGTTATTTAAGCCGTATTAAGACTTAGGGATGTTCAAAGTAAGGCGAAATTGCGAGGCTGGCACTATATATCCCAAAGTAATCCGACATATCTTTCGCCTTAATCCCCAAGACCGGATACGTGCGGCGCAAACTTGCCCCACAACTTTCCCCTGAGAAAATTTCTGAGAAAATTGCGCTAACCGCAGAGTTCGTCGATATGTGAGGAAACTCGTGTCGTGTATTTACCAGTATGTATACATATTCAGAAATCCATCAGTAACGAAAACATAAACCACGACATTGAAGTTGCTAAACTGCATCGCAAATTGCATGCGTAATAACTCTGCAATCGAGTAAACAAAGTGAATCAAATCGTTTTCAAATTAGGTAGAATAAAACGAAGTCGAGGGAGATTTTTTCACTCTTTTGTCCGGCAAATAGCGCATTAAATCGCAACAATGGTGCTCGCGCGAGCTGTGAATTTCACGTTACTCTATTGATGGTCTCTTTCAATGCTTCGAATGAAGATTGATCGACGAAGAATGACGTAGTACAACGTAACATTTCATAGATACAAAAATCGTTTTAGTTACTACTAGCACTGCGTACTATATACATAGTTTCTAATTATATTTTGTTTGGCTATTTTTTTTATTTTTTCAAACTATTTTTTATATCTTGAAATTGCCAGAATTTCAAATTCGATTTGTATAATAGTATAACAGTAGATTTAAATAAATTAATCTATCTATCGTTTGCTCACCGCAAAAAAGTAACAATCAACTATATACCGCAGACTTTCTAAATTTTCCATCCTTGTTTCCGCCAATATAGGAGCTGCACAAATTTCCATAAAATTGGGAAACTGCGGCTGAAACGAGGGTAAAGTCTAGAATGTCGTATAAATTCAAACTTCCGCATCCCAAATTTCTTTCCGCCGATATGAACCACATTCTGGCATATGTAAAGAGAAATTAAATTTTCACGAACAAGAAACTTTACGATTTAATATAATATATTTTTTGTTAAACTAATTTATACATTTTTTTAAATATCAATAAAACTAATTTATCAACTGAATTATAAAAAATCGGATTAAAAATGTAATTTATTTTAAAGAAGAAATTAAACAAATAATGATACATCAAAAAGAGTGCTAAAAACTTTTTAAAATTTTTAAAAATATTTTTATGATCTATATATAGTTAAAAATCTAAAAATTGTATAATGTGTATAAGACATTCAGTGCAAATTCATTTTTATATATATTTCCATCCTTCAGAAAATTTCATGGATATACTTTCAAATTGCTACTCGAAGGACGAAAGTTATTTGATGTTCGTACAAGTACATGTCGATTTTTTCCAATGAACCAACTTTGCAGAAATAAAAATGGAAAAGTTTTCAAAAGAATTGGTGCCATGAAAAGCCACGACAAGCCACCCTGGTTAAGCAAGAAAGAGCACTTTGAAGCTGGCCTGGTACCATCACATTCGAGTGGGTAATTTCTCCAGGTTTTTCGTGACGACGGCAATCCGACGCTTCAATCGTTGGTAGTTTTACCTTTAAATTCTTTTATTTGTCGACGTCGCTCTTATTTGTAAAGATTCAATTATTTAAGTGCTATTTAATCGCACACAATTTCGATATTCTTTGATTTCAAAATTTAATTTAAATGAATCTATTATAACTAACATATATTTTAGTATTTTCTTGTAAGAAATTAAAAGTCTAATTTTATAAAACAGGTATAATTTATTTAATATAAAAAATTAAAAATTCAAAAATATCTTAAAAATTTTTATTTTATGTTGAAAAAATTCTTATTTTATGTTTATACGTATAGATCTAGCTTCTTAAATAACATCATCGTTACTGTTTCCTTACTTATCAAATTTTTTCGTTCATTAACATCCCTTTAATTTAACATTTTCACTCATATTGCCCTTTGATTTTGAATCTTTTGAACTTTTGCACATGATCTCACTCAGCACGGCAATTTTACCCCTTCTTTTGTGAAGAGTCTAGCAATCCGAATCTTCAAAACGAGATCGTTACCGGGTTCCCTTCACTTTGAACACATCTCCGGTACAGCAGTCGAACGCAGCTTCACCTTTCATTATCGTACTTCAAACTGACTTACAAAAACGTAACACTATAGAACGTAACGTAACACTATAAGAACTTGTACGCCAAGAAATTCTACAAAAGGAAAAAATTAATATTAGGAACAACAACATTACTATTTAATATTTTTTTGTAACTCAACATAATAAAAATAAATGATAACTTATTAATGTTTGTAATTTATTAATGATATAAGTCTAATTATATTAATAATATATAATATTTAATAATTAATAATATAATAATAATTAATAATATATAATAATATATAATAATATATAATATATAATAATATATAACATTAAATTTATTTATTATTTGTTATTATTTATTATTTGTTACATGATTGATAAGCAAGTAATTTTTCACTGTTTGATAATTTTATCATTATAATACGGTTTTTTATAATATTGCATTGTATTATAACAATTGCGTAAATAAAAAATATTATTATTACATTCTTCTCAAAATTTAATATATATAATTGTTTAAATGTACAAGAAATAAATTATTTTTAAGAGGAAATTCTTGTATTGAGAGCGAGGATTTTGGTACGAAAGCATTTTTAAAATCCAAATCAAATGTCGCGGAAAAAATCCATCGTCAAAAGTTAATTGCTTTTTTATGATTAAGAAAATCTTCAATGAGAATCTAGCGCCAATAAAAGTGATAAAAGCAATGCAGATATTGGTAATTGCCATCGGCGATAAAGACGAAGGGAATAAACGAGATACTGTTTCCGAGGCACTTTCAGAAAAATACGTGGCGTGTACTTGCGGCATCGTGCTGCTACAACCTGCATTAGAACCGAGCATTTCCCATTATTTTCCCACTATTCCTGGTTCAGATACTTTGCCGGATTTTACTACCGAAATAGCGAATTCAATTTCAAATGTGATAACAACTCAAAAGCAGTTAGAAATTATTGATAATCCCTATTTGTATTTCGAAAACAATTTACCTATTATATTTGTAGAAATTATATCATCGAAACTTTCTACATAAAAAATAAACGTATTATAAAAAGATAAAAAGATATGTGTAATCTGTGTAAAAAATCGGTTTTTGTTTTTTTTCGAAAGAAAACAATATATATTATGTTAATACACACACACACAAACACACACACACACACACACACACACGCACATAGATTAAAAAGTTACATACAATGTATTTTATAAATGTATTTAACAAATTTCTTTCTAAGATCCATTATATTTTTAACGGTAATATATATTTAATAATATTTGAAATCTGTTTAAGATAAGTTTT